ACGTGACGGAGCAGGAAGAGAAGGACCATCAAAGCGGGTAACGTTAATGGCTGTTTTTCTTCTACTTGGGTGGATGTAGCTTCACATTGTGGCCTTCATTCAGTTGTGAGGACGAGGATTTAGAAGACGACAGTGTCGTCCGCGATGCTTCCACGCGTAAACAGATCTTCGTCGGCGGCATTCCAGCAAGGACGAATTGTAAGCAGTTGAGGGATCACTTTTCACGCTACGGTACTGTGAAGAACTGCTTCGTTTCACCCCACAAACCATTCGGCTCCGTTACATTTGAAAGTGAGGAGTCGGCTCGCAAAGCCATTTCCAAACCCATACAATTTGTCTGCGGAAAAAGGGTTGAGGTGAAAGAGTATGCTGCCAAGAAGAAGTATGTCTCTCATTGCCTTTTCCTGTGCTAAATAAAAGATGTTATTTTGTGGTTGATTGTGCAAAAGACTAGTAGATTTGCTGGAAGCGTCGCCTATATATCAGATGCCTCAATTTCCCTACGTAACACCGATGTCGCGTATGTGTGACGTTACGGAGAAAATGGTCTTGCCAACAAAATTCTACTTACTGGGCAATTGTGTTACCCTTTGCGTGGCTCTGCCACCACCTAAAAATACTACTAACCAATGGGAAATTAAATGCTTCATATTTTTTTCCCGTAGGAACCCCGATTTCGCTTTGGGAATTCATGACCTTCGTAGATGAGAGACTGTTTGTTCCCATTTGAATTGCAGCGTCTTTAGTCATTTCGGGTGATCTTAGACATTTCTGACGATAAAGACAACCCTCAATAGCCCAATCGCTGAATCACTTAACTGTAGCTGTTGAGAATCGGAAAGGCTGGCAGTCTGGATGTGGGGCAGAACACTGTAGGATAAAAGAAAAACAAACAAACGCAGTTGAGACTGCTCATTTGTAAAGTTAGAACAAATGCGTATCTGCTACAGTTCAATAGAATGTGGCTCGTTGTATTGCTCTTAAAAATGCTCATTGTGGCACTTGAATTAATTGCAGATGGTTTGTGCACATTTTGCAGACACGGTGCCTCTAAGCCTCAGTCGACGGAGGATTCGACAAATGAGTCGAAGACAAAATCGCCTTCGCTACCTTCACATTCACCTTCAACTGCATCAAACGCGGTACCCACATCACCTGCAGAGGAGCGACAAAGGGTATTCATTGGTGGCATCTCACACAAAACGACGGTGGATTCGTTGAGGGCAGTGTTATCAACGCTGGGTCCAATAAAGGCCTGCGGTATTAGCCCCAACAGAGGATTTGCCATGGTGGTGTTTGAACGACCTGAGACGGCTGAACTGGCCATCTCAGCTCGTTGGCATATAATCGATGATAAATTGGTGGAAATGAAAGCCTTTATGCCCAATAAGATGACCAAAATTTA